CCAGGAAGAGCGGATGGGAGAGGGTGGCATTCAACGTCAAAGAGCTTCACAGCGTGAAATTTTCTTACAGAGATCTGCAAAGACTCCAAGCCATGAGGATCACAGCTATACAGAAAAAGACCAACTCTTGAATACTGTGCTACAGTATCTGCTGGGCCACTACCACCAGAAACATTTTCTTCCAGTCAAAAGTGCTTCCCAGCCCACAACTCCACTGCTGCCTTTCTGCTCATTTACAAAGGAACATGAACCACACACAATCAGGCAACACTGAGCAGCTTACCCCGACACTGCCCTTCTAGCTAGACTTCCCCAAAGCCTATCATCTGTAATTCAGGGAAAAGAAGAAAAAAAAAAAATCAGGAAAAAAAAGTTTTCAAAAGCCAGAAACACTCACCTCAGGTATACAGGAACTCACCCAACAGAAATTGTTTCATGTTATTTTCCTTCCATTACGACCAAATTTAAGGTCCACCAAAGCAAAGTGGCTACGCAAACCCAAGAAACCATACAAGACTAGCAGTTTAAACAGGACATGTAGTAACAGAATTTAGATATTTCTTAAACTAGCCATAAGCCATCTTTTCTAGAACTGAAATGATGATGGTCTACACAGTAGTCAAAAAAAACCAATACTTTGTAACCTCTCAGATCTCTGTACTTAACAGGAATCTGTTTAACTCAGCACCGTTGATGAAACGGAACAACAATTTACTCGCTTACTTGCGGCTCAAGAGGGATGTGGTCTAGTTAATTAAAGCTAAGGCGCTGCTTTGTGAACAGCTCTGTAAAAGCACTGTAATATCTTTTGAGTAGAAGCAGAAGATCCATCTATGTGGGTAGAGCAAAGTGTAAAAACATTAAGAAAGAAACTCTAACAGGAGAGCTGAAAACAACCAGCAGGACTGCCTCCCTTAAAACAATGAATGCTAAGGGACAAACTCATTAAGAGTGAGGGGACAAGATGTGGTTTTGCTATTGTTCAGAAGGGGTCTGCCACATTTTTTGCTCAGGAATTCAAACTACATTGATTTCCAATCGGTGCCATGTGCTTTTATTTTTTTTCAAGAAGAAAATGAAAAAGAATTAATTATATTGTTTTTATTTTCATCCCTAAAAATACTTCCTAAGCACTAAATACTATGACTACTACAATGCTAGCAATTAGCAGCTCAGTTACACAATGAAGGATAAAAAGCAGTACTACCTGAAAACACAACTCCTGGCTCCCTGCTTGGGTTCAGAGAGCAAAGCCATCACTACAAGTGCTTTACAGGACTTGACTCTCCCTTTCGGGTGTCAGTAATGCTACACAGTGATGCTCAGCTATGCCCTTCAAACAAGTAAGTATAATAAAGAAACAGTTTACTTGAAGAGGTACAGTCCAATGTACCGATCCACCCCATCACACCCAGTTCTTCTGAAAAGCTCTGCCTACCACATACACACTTCTTTTAGTATGAAATAGTCTCTGCCAGCAACTATCAATCTGGTAACTTTCTCCCACATCCCCAACTTACTTGATTTCGGTACTCCATTGCTTAAGTGAGAAATTGATAGCACTTGGTTGGATTGGCGCAGGTTGGGAAGCTGCTTGTTCCCCCACCAGGTCTGTAGGAGAAGTTTCCACAGCTAGAATATTTCTAGCTCTTTCTGCTGAGGCATTTTGACTTCTGATACTCAAATCTATTAAAAAAAAAAACAAACAGAGAGAAAAATAGGCAAAACTTTCAGTGAGTAAAAGAACAGTGGCTATATAAAGTCATATATTAAGTCTGCTTGTAATGTAGGTAGGGTTTGATTTTAAATTGCAACATAACTTTATAAAACACTGTTCAAGTGAACTTCAAAAACAGTTCAATGTTTTCCTTGGTGAGCTCTCACTGCAGCCACCTGTTTCTGGTAACAGGACCCGTATGGTGCTCACGAAGCATTATTTCAGGAGTGATTTACAATCTCAGTCAGTATCGATTCATCTAGCTTAAGCAGCTATAAAGCCATAAAAATTAAGACGGATTTATTATATAAATCCACAAAAAACCTTTATAAAACAAGCTCAGGTTTATCAGAACTCCTAAGTCAGGAACAGCGTCACAAAAATACTGTGACACAACTTTCAGGGTGTGCTTCATCCTAAAAGTTGTTCATCCTAAAAGTGACACTGCTGCTGTAAGTCAGCGAGCTTTACGGACTTGAGCGAGCTCTGTGCAAATCCAGCCCAGGCATTCCCGGAGCTAGGAACGTTAGCATGGGCCCTGCAGGCCCATCAGAGACCTATTGGATCAGCGAGGATTTATTACCTCTGGTTAAGCTGAATGCAGCTACACCTAAATTCATCCAGCCCAACTCTCTTGTGCACTTCAGCAAGTCTACAGATTGGGCTGAGGGCCATGCAGCTCAGGCCCAGCACTGCACATGTGCCAGCAAACTCAGCAGGCTCCGAGTGACTCCGCAGGAACCAGCCAAGAACTGCTGCTAGCCCTGAGCCAGAGCTAATGAATTCCAGAGGATCCAAGCTGATCCAATAGAGCTAGCCAGGTCTCCAACACGTACTGTACAATCTGTAGCGTGTATGTTACCTCAGTGTTTCCATTATCCTGGATAGCTTGCCTTCTTCCTCATCCCTCCTCCAGCAGACAGAGGGATAGGAAATGCAGAGCATATACTATGAATAGAAAAAGCATTCTAGAGAAGCATAAAAGTAGTTTATGGCCCTCTACAAACCCTCTGAACAGGCAAGCTAAGAACAAGCTCAAATGTAATTTTCAGACTCTTCCCTGTATCATTCTCAAAGCACTGAAGTGCATTAAAAATTTCTGAGAACACTCTCAGACTTGATTCAGCAGTTGTATTATCAAGTAACATACCGGACGGGCTTCTGACTTTAATGATTCTCTGCAGGAAGGGAAAAACCCTAGGAAATCATGAAGCCCTGGTTTATCCCTGGTGAGCCTTTTAGTCTTTGTTCTGACTATTATTGGCACTAGCTGCAAGACGATCTTTAAGCAACCTGTACCCTCCAATTACTCAGCAGATGGTTACTTTTATTTCGCCCATACCAAAGATTAGAAGCAGAAAGACAGAACATTTTGTGATAAAGAATACCAAATATAAAAGATCATTGACACTACAAATCTCTCAAACCCTTGAAAAATGGTATCTGAAACAGAAGTATATCATGTCATCTTTCAAATATAGGTACAAATTACACTGCCTTGACCTATGTTATGAACAGCGCTGATTGAAACTTCTTCAGTGCCTTATCGGCCAAACTAAATTCCATATTCTTTTGGATCTTGGCTGTTTGAGCTGAACAAAATTCAGCTAGGTCAAATAAAATTAACTTCTGATCATATTCAGTGTCTAATAAAGGGGAAAGATAATATGATAGGTTTCTAACTAAAAAAAAACAAACCAACCAACCACACACCCCCTCACTCCCTGAAAAACCCACAAAAAAACCCCCCACACAAAAAACTTATGGGCACCCAAAACCAGGCTCGAATACCAACAGTCTGCTTTCATACTTACAGCTTGTTTCATCTTCTACCTGTATGATTTGACAAGACTGCACAGTCTCTTTATAAAATGGCCCAGGTAAATGAATTGCTCATGAGTTTAACTTCTAATAAAAGCATTTCCTCTCACAGACATGCTAATCAGTCTGGCCAAAACTTCTCCGACTTCCTGAGGTTGCTCACTGTAGACGATCCCCTGCTTACACCAGCCAGCTGATTGGTTAGAGCTACGGACTACACAGCAGATACAGCACAACAGTGTAATGGGGTTGCTAATGCAATCACCACAAAAAAAATCTTGTTCTTAAACTTATTTCAAAACACAAGAATCTTATAAATGCTTGACATACCATTTTTTTATTAATGCACATCAAGAGTTGAGGACTAGCATAACTAAGAACTGAAATTATAAAAGCTACATTAACATTGAATCAATTCCAAGAAGAAGAAATTCCCATATCCTGTAATGAATAAATCATTTCTTTGACTTCCACAGCAGTAAGGCAGTTCCATGACAAATCCTGCAGAATCATTTCTGTAACATTAGCTTTCCCACAGCCCACTTCAAAAAATATTTTAAAGTATTTTTCACTACCTTGAATACTCTTAAAAACTTGTCAAGCCCAATCCATAAAGCTGTACCTTACCTTTACCTATGTTCCAGTTAGTCCAGATTTCTAAACAAAGGGACGGATGGGACACAACAGGACAAAACAGGCAAGACTACAGTGAGCAATTTTGCTCCTGGACTGAAGACAGACTACTTCTCCATTTAAAACATTAGTGATAGCATCTGTATTCAAGCACTAGCAAAACAAATTTCTCTGCTCAGTATAAAGCACATCATCAAATGCACACACACTTTAAAAAAACCCCAAACCCCACAAGGCACACATCTTAGTCATCAATATGGAATTACAGCCTGCTAGAGTCCCTCAACTGTATAGCAAACTTTTGGAATACTTGTTTAAAATGAAGAAACAATCATCAAACATTCAGACTCTTTGCACTTTCCCCAGAAGAAAACCCTACTTAAACAGTACAGTTGATGATAAAGTCATCACTGTGATTTGTCCTCAAAAATTAGACACTCTAGATGCAGTTTCAAATTCTACATAATGCAGTTTAAGTGCAGGCTGTCCCTGAAAGTAGTGGGTCTACTCAGCCCATGCATTTCATCTTGATATTCCTTGCATGGCATTTAATAATAACTAAGAGGAAAAAAAGGAAAAGAAATCACACAAATTGGTTCAGCTTGCCGATCC